CGCGGCGGGAGGACTGCGTTTGTAAGATGGCCGCGCCAAGATGGCCGCGCCACGATGGCTGCCGGCGCCCCGCCGCAGCATCCGTGCGGCTGCGGGGCCAGATGCAGCGCCCCCTGGCACCCGGACCGCTCGCGGACGAAGGGTGGCCTCCTTTCGCCTCCCGAGTGATGATGATGGTGATGGGTGGGGACGGAAAAACCGTGAGCCGCGCGCCCGCCCGCCCGCCCCAGCGAGTGCCTAGGCTGGCCGTCGCCCGAAGGCATCCTTTTGCTGCCTTTGGAGCGGAGCGCCAGAATCCTGTTGTACTGCATGTGCTCTGCAGGGCAGTTGCTCGGGAAAACAATCTTGAGTTCCACCCCCGGGAGTTTCTGTGTAGAGGTCCTTGGACTCGTCGTTTTTACATACAGAAGTTGCTTGACTGGTTGCAGTAGTAGTCGATTAATGGCGACCTGACAGCTCATGTTTATTAACTGGCTTTGATCGAGAACAGCGGTGCTGTTTAACGGTACTTTCAGTTGGAAAGCAGTTACTCAGTTCTCATAGCTCAGTTATCGAGGTGGTTCAATAGTACGCTAAAGGATAAGCATAAAGAGGAACGAACACTTTAAACCGTTTATTGCCATGACCGTATGTGCTTGTTATGTACATGCCGAGTCCGGACACCTGCCTAACTTGTTTAGGGTTGTTTAGCCATCAAGGTGGTAGGCATTTAAAAAAAAAATAAAAAAAAAAATAAGCCCCAAACTTAGCTATACTTAAGGGTATTCCGGAGTTAATTTGATGCAGACCTTAATGCTTTATCCCAGTTTGAGAAATTGTGGCCCTTCGTTATTTTGCTAGGTGTTAAGAGAAAGTTTTTTTGTTGTTTTTGAGGCAAGGCTTGGTATGTAAACCTGGTTACTATATTGATTGTGCTTCATTCTTCAGAGTGCAGCAGCTAAATCTTATTTATGGTACCTTGTAAGTTCTCTTAATATTATAGAATGTGATACTTAAAATAGTTTTGAGGAGCTGGAGAGAGCTTTGTCGCCCAGTGCTTCCCTGAGGTAAACATGGAAAGAGGTTGTTGGTGTAATTGGAGAAGAGTAGGAAGAAAGGCTAGGGTTATGAAAGCTTTGTAAATTCCTGCCCTTACCATTCCTTTTCAGCTGCGGTTTCTAGGTGTAGCTGGGTGTGACACACGCCTAAAATTCCAGCATTAGAGAAGCAAAGGCAGGAGGTTGACCAGCCAAGGGCTACATGAGACGACCCTGTCTCAAAACCAAGACAAAACCAAAAAATGCAAGCTAAAATACATAGCTACCTTTTAAAAATTATGTATAAAAGACCATATAGGATGTTCTGTCCCCACCTTGACTCTGATTCCTGGGCCCACAATGGAGGTAGAGAACTTGTTTCCCACAAGTTGTCTTCAGACCTCTACATATGTACAGTGTCTTGTATGCATGTACCTATTCCCCTCCCCCACGATAAATAATAAAAGCTCAGAGAACATCTGGAAAGGAAAAATATTTAAGTGTCGATGAGATTATTTTGAAATCTTGGGTAGAATTGTGATAGTGAAAGGTGGTGGTGAATATCCATTTTTGTGTGTGGGAGGGTGTGCATTTTATGTGTATGAGTGTGTTGCCTACATGTATGTATATGTACTATGTATGGTCCTGGTGCCCTCAGAAGGCATTGGATTCCCAGGAACTGGAGTTGGGATCCTCTGTATGGGTGCTGGGAATGGAACAGTTTCTCAGTCCCCTGGGGGGATGTTGTAAATAATTTCAAGCTAGTAAGGAGACAGTCCAGGGCAAGATGATTGTTGTAGTTTGAGGCTGGAGTGGATCTAAGGGTGGAGAACTGTGCTGTTGTAATTTGTTCTTTCCTTAATTTTTCTGTCCACTTTACTTGTTAGCCTGATTTACACCAGCTAGCTGCAATATATATATGATTCAAAGGGCCTTACTTAGTGAAGCTGTTTTTAGCGCTCTCTCTCTCCATATATATATATACACATATATATATACATATATATAAAATTATTATTAGGATTCAAAGAGCCTTAGTGTAGTCGTTTTTTAGCTGAAGCAGCCAATTTTTTGTTTGTTTGTTTTTTGCTTTTTTGAGACAGGGTTTCTCTGTGTATGTAGCTTTGGAGCCTTTCCTGGAACTCTGTAGCCCAGGCTGGCCTCGAATTTACAGAGATCCGCCTGCCTCTGCCTTCCGATTGCTGGGATTAAAGATATGCGCCACCATCGCCTGGCTCAAAGTGGCCAATTTTTAAAATGGTGTATTATTTCAGAGTAGCTTAAAAGGTACTTGGAGTGAAATTAGTAATCACAGATCTGATCTTAGTGCATCTGTTTAATAACAGAATGTTTTACCCATTTATTTGGGGCTTTATTCCTAGACTGTGGTCTTTATTCAAGGCCGGCATAGGTCTAGTAATGTTTTTAACAGTTGTAAGTAGTACAAGATTTTATGGAGAACCTTGGTGTTAAGGTTACTGGATCTTATTCTAGAAGTCTAACGATAGAGGTTTGTACTGAAGCTCAGAAGTAATAATAGCTTCAAAAAGCACTCTAGAGGCTAAGGATGTATGTAGCTGAGTTGAAAGAAAGCTCCCATGGATGGCATGCACAAAGCCTTTGGCTCATTAGTATGGTAGTAAGCCTGAAATCCCAGGAGGTGGACAGGATCAGCATGTTTCCTTTCTACTTTTACATGTTCATTCTATGTTCCATGAGTATTGAACTATGTATATATTACTACACTTTCTCACACTTGTTTCTGCTGTCTGGATCCTCCTTTTTCTGTAAACCCTCCCAAGTAACTGGCTGGCTGTCTTTGCCACTTAATGGGAAGAAAAGTACAATATAAGTGTAGAAAAATGATACAAATATTGCTTACCTATGTGTCCTTTATTAATATGAAATGATAGCACAACAGGTCCAGCAAATAAATATTTTAAAGGCCACATTTGAGGGGGGGGTGTCTCACCATGTAGCATTGGCTGGTCTATATATATTGGCTTTGAACTCAAGAGTGCTGGGATTAAAGGTGTGTGCCACCATGCCAGGCCCATAATATATATATTTTTAATGTAGTAGTTTTTTTTTTTTTTCAGCATAGGACTGACTAGTAGATACAATTTTGGAACAACATAGCTGACCGTGTTGGGTACATCAGTCTCCTTGCAGTGTGTTAAAAGCAAGTGGACTGAAAATGTATGGATAAACTTTCACTATCATCATGTGGAGTCAGAGTCCAGAAATCACCCACCCAGTTTGTTTGATAAGTACAGATGTATTAAGTTTTAACTCTAGCCAGATTTTATTTGGATTTGCAAGTGCCAGTGGTAGAGTCAACATTGGGTGTAAGTTCCCAGGGTTAGGATTGTTCTGTCTGTTGTTCATTGAAATAGCCCAGCTTCAGGAATAAACAGACATAGGTAGTATAACTTAAAAAATTCATGTATTTGATCAGAACTTATTTTTTATTTCTAAAGGTTTATTTTTATGTGCATTGGTGTTTTGCCTGCATGTATTTCTGTGTGAAGATGCCAGATCCCCTGGAACTGGAGTTATAGACAGCCGTGAACTGCCATGTGGGTCCTTTGGAAGAGCAGAGTACTCATATCTGCTAAGACATGTCTCCAGCCTCTCGATCAGAAAATTTAGTGTGTAGTACTCAGTAAAAGGAAGCAGAGATCAGTCAAGTGACTAAACTTAAGACACTTGGAGAAGAACATTTTAAAAATTGTTTCCAGATTAGAACAGGTGAACTAGCCAAACATTATCTCATAGGTAACTATAGTAGATTTAATTAGGTGATTCGATTATTTAAATAAATGGAAATTCAAGTTAGCCTATGTTAACCTTGGATACTAAGGATATGGTAAAGTTTGTTCTGAAGTGTTCATGTATAGTCTTACCCATTATTATTCCTAGTTTTGCTGAGACTATTATAATCAAGTGCAGTGGCTCTTGTAGTCACATCTTAATGACAAAGGACTCAGGATTAACCTGGCCCTTTCCCCCTCTTTTACAGGCGAGCGAGTGCTGTGCTTTCATGGGCCTCTTCTCTATGAAGCAAAGGTATGGAACCTACTTTCTTTTGAGAAGGTGGCCAAAAATGTTGGCTAGATTTGACTTTTTAATTTCAAATTATAATATTTTCTTACTGGATATGTAAAGATTCCATTTGTTTCATAAATCCTCCCATCTCATTTTGAGTTTGTTATTGCTTGCTTTGTGGTGGATGGAGAAAGTTCAGATATTGCTACTCTTCTGCCTTTCTAAACTCACTCAGTAAAAGCCTGTTGGTGGAAATAACATTGAAGTGATAGATGAAGGTCTGTTGGTTGTAACAAATAGCATTTTATAGTTAATAACTCGGAGGAAAGCAATGCCAGAGCCACACTTACTGTGTGTGTTTGCAAGCACTTGTACATGTAGGTGTGTAAAACCTCATGAGTGTTGAGGTCAGATGTCAACCTCAAGTGCCAGTCTCTTCCTGTCTTTGAGACATCTTTTCTATTTGACCTTTAGATTTCCTGGGATTTTCTCCTCCACCTTCTACCTCATTGTAGGAGCACCAGGATCATATGGGTTCTGGGATCATATGAGCTATCCTGCTTGCATGGCAACCACCATTATCCACTGAACCATTTCCTCAGCTTTAACAATTGATACTTCTCTCCTCGCACTTGAGTGTGTGTGTGTTTGTGTTTCTATTTGTGTTTGTCTGGTGGTTTTGAGACTTGAGTTTTATTAGCTCAGGCTGGCTTTGAACTAACAGCAAGCCTCCTGCCTCACCCTTTTATGCTGCAGTCACACAAATGTGAACTACCATGCTCTGGTTGTCATTACACATTTAACTTCTGTTTGTTAATTTGAATGGTAAAGTTTGAATCCTGAGTGAACAAGGTGGAATTGAGGCTGAGGTGTCATTCTGGTGCTGAACTCAGGGGTTTTAACACTCTAGCCATGTTCTCTGTCACTGAGTTACACCCAGTCCAGCACAGAAAATGAAAACTTGCCCCATCCTTTTTGACACTGC